AAGCGAAGAATGCTAGGAATGTCTGACTTGGCTTGTTCGACAACACATCGAAGGCCTCTTGTTCATGAGGCCATCAGAGACCGTACTGTAGCCTGAGATACATCCCTTGAAACTTTCAACCACAACCGCCTTGGCGATGCATGGCCGCCATGCCACCCAAAGTGTGTCGCGGAAGTTTTTGAACATAATGCCGTCCATATATTAACATACTTAGGGAGTGTGTGTACACGATGAGCTTCCTAAAGCTTCCCTACATAAGGTGGTGTCCGACAAGAATGTCCACCCTCACCGTTCTCGTTCAACATCGTCCTGGGTGAAATAATGAGGTAAACGCCGGTGTTCAGACCGTCGCTGGTGAGAAACTCGTCGATCTTGAGTACGCAGAGGACATGGCTTTCATCTTCGAGGATGAAAGTGTTATATATTTGCTCTGTTTTTCAAACGTTTCATCATTTGCTGCTAAATCATTTTCTTCCGTTTCCAGCTCTCAGTGTCAAAGTTGTGGATGAATAAGGCCTAGCTTTCGGGCCCTCAGTCTTTTCCATTGCCATTCTGATTGTCGTTGCACTCCGACCCTCGTCGTACACATCGTCGTACACACATCAAAAAAAGTTTTCGAACAATGGATCGACTCTTACGTCCTGAACGATTCGATACCGACCCCAATACTCAAGACTCGGCAGATACCTGGGAGCATTGGTTTTGTACTTTCACAAACTTCCTAGAGTCAATCGGTTCTCATTCACCAGATAAACTGAAAACCTTGTTCAATTACGTCTCCCCTAGTGTTTACCGATTCATCAAAGACTGCAAAGACTATGAATCAGCCATCGAAACCTTGCGAGAAATTTACGTACAGCCGAAAAATGAAGTTTTTGCACGGCATCTTTTGAACACTTGTAAACAGGACGGAGCTCAGAACCTTGATCAGTTTGTGCAGAAGCTTCGCAGTTTATTGCCAGACTGCCGCTTTACAGCCGTCAGTGCAGAACAGCATACCGATGAAGCGTTGCGAGATGCGTTTATTAGCGGACTTTATTCCAATACTATACGCCAGAGACTGCTGGAACATAAGTCGCTGGATTTTAAAACCGCGTACGACCATGCAAAGTCCCTCGAACTAGCGCAAAAACAGTCGTTGTCGTTTTTGCCGAACACTCAACTTCCCTGTGCCACCGTATCGAACGACCCGCCAAAGTCCCCACGTTCTCAAACGTCATCGCACGAGCAGGCGACTGCTGCCAGTGTGGGGTCTTCATGTTTCTTCTGTGGCTATGCTCGTCACCCGAGATATAAATGCCCCGCTAAAGATGCGACCTGCAAAAACTGTGGGAAGAAAGGGCATTTTCAAAAGGTATGCAGATCTACTGGTCCGCGGAACACCTCATCTGTTTCAAGTGCGCTATCTTGCGTCACTGCAGCGGCTCCCGAGTGTCTAAAAGAAGCAGTCACCGATGTGAAAGCCAATGGTGTCCCGCTTCGAGCTCTTGTTGATACTGGTAGCTCAGAAAGTTTCATTTCCGAAAAGGTAGTCCGTCGTAACAAGTGGTCTGTACTACCATCGTCATCTGAGATAACTTTGGCATCTATCCAGCACAAAAGCTTTACTCTTGGACATTGCTTTTTAACGTTGCAACACAAACAAAACAAGTATCCCTCTTTCAAGTTTTCAGTATTACGTGACCTCTGTGCAGATATTTTGCTAGGACATGACTTTCTTAAGCTTCATAAGTCCCTGGAAATCTCATTCAACGGTGACAAACCTTCTTTTTCCCTTTGTGGTCTAATTGCTGCCAAAATTGAACCTCCCACTTTGTTCGAGCATATTGACCCAAGGTGTAAGCCAATCGCCATAAAGTCCAGGCGACATTCTGCAGACGACGAGGCCTTCATTGCTTCTGAAGTAAAGCGTTTACTTGACCAACACATCATTGAACCCTCGAAGTCCCCATGGAGAGCGCAAGTGCTCGTCACGACAAATGAACGACAGAAGAAGCGAATGGTGGTTGACTATAGTCAAACTATAAACCGATTTACGCAACTAGACGCTTATCCGCTCCCCAGACTTGAAGATTTAAGTACTAAAATAGCTCAATATCGTATTTTCAGCACGCTTGATCTTGAAAGTGCGTATTATCAGATACCCATTAAAGAAAGCGACAGAATCTACACGGCTTTTGAGGCTTGCAACAACCTCTATCAGTTCCGTCGAATACCTTTCGGAGTAACGAATGGGGTAGCCTGTTTTCAAAGGGTAATGGATGACATAATACGCGCCGAACAACTTACCGGGACATATGCGTATGTGGATAATGTTACCATTTGTGGAAAGAATCAAGAAGAACATGATCGAAACCTCCAGCTTTTCCTCACCGTAGCACAAAAGTACGGCCTTCAGTTAAATCACGATAAAAGCACGATTTCCACCACTAAGCTCAGACTCCTCGGCTATGAAATTACTGAAGGTGTCATCAAACCAGACCCTGAACGCTTCAAGGTATTGCAAGAACTGCCCGTTCCGAACGACATCAAGTCTCAACAACGAGTGGTAGGATTGTTCGCGTACTATTCTCGTTGGATAAGCCGTTTCTCGGATAAGATCTACCCAATCACTCACAATACAACCTTTCCTGTCCCTGAATCTGTTATAAAAGCATTTGAAAGTTTGAAAAAGGAGTTGATGGATGCAGCCTTGGTCACTATCGACCCGAGAATACCTTTGGTGCTCGAAACTGATGCATCTGATGTCGCGATTTCTGCTACACTCAATCAAGATGGCAGACCGGTCGCATTCTTCTCACGTACACTGTCTGCCAGCGAAAAACACCATTCCGCTATTGAGAAAGAAGCTTGCGCAATTGTCGAAGCAGTGCGCAAATGGAGGCATTACCTACTCGGGACCCATTTTAAAATCATAACTGATCAGCGATCCGTTGCATTCATGTACTCAACACAACAAAAAGGGAAAATAAAAAATGACAAAATCCAACGGTGGCGGATGGAGTTGTCGCCTTTTTCTTTTGACGTTACCTACAGACCAGGCATAGAAAACAAAGCTGCTGACACGCTTTCTCGAAGTGTCTGTGCGAACACTTCATCTAACCTGGATCTAAAACGCTTACACACAACCCTGTGTCATCCTGGAGCAACACGCATGATGCATTTCGTTCGTGCCAAGAATCTACCATTCTCCCTAGAGGATATCCGACTCGTCATTAAGCAGTGTCAAGTGTGTGCGGAACTAAAACCACGTTTCTTCAAGTCATCTGGCGGTACCCTCATTAAAGCCACACAAACGTTTGAACGCTTAAGCATTGACTTTAAGGGACCACTGCCTTCGACGACTCGAAACAAATATCTACTGACGATCGTAGACGAATATTCCCGTTTTCCGTTCGCCTATGCATGTCCAGATATCAGTTCGTCTACGGTGATATCATGCCTTGTGCCACTGTTCGCCACATTTGGCCTGCCAAGTTTCGTGCATTCGGATCGTGGCTCATCATTCATTTCGGATGAGATCAAACGATTTCTTCATGAAAAAGGTGTAGCCACCAGTCGGACCACTCCATATAATCCAAGGGGGAACGGCCAGGTGGAAAGATTGAATGGAACTTTGTGGAAGGCTATTACGCTTTCATTACGATCAAAGGGTCTTCACATCAGTCACTGGGAAACCGTTTTACAAGACGCTCTCCACTCGATTCGTTCTTTGTTGTGCACGGCCACCAATGCCACTCCACACGAGCGGATGTTTCATCACAATCGAAAATCCGCAGTCGGTACGTCCTTGCCACAGTGGTTGCTTTCGCCAGGACCAGTTCTGATGCGGCGAAACACACGATCTTCAAAGTACGACCCCCTAGTCGAAGAGGTTGAGCTCCTGGAATGTAACCCTGAGTACGCATATGTCAGACACTCTAACGGCATGGAAGAAACGGTCTCCCTACGTCACCTGGCCCCTTCAGCAGATTTCGGATGTGCTCCAGCATCCGAACAGCAGCAACCGCAGTCCAACGCTGATTCATTTATTAAACCGGAACTATCTGACTCTGCTTCGGAAAGTGAAATGTCGAATTCTTCTGAACACCCATTGGTTATACAACAACAGCGGACACGGCCGTATGTCCTGCGCAACAGAGAGGCCTGACATTATTCAATTATAAATCAAACTCTTGAGAACTTTCATCTCTGCGGGGGGTGAATGTTATATATTTGCTCTGTTTTTCAAACATTTCATCATTTGCTGCTAAATCACTTTCTTCCGTTTCCAGCTCTCAGTGTCAAAGTTTTGGATGAATAAAGCCTAGCTTTCGGGTCCTCAGTCTTTTCCATTGTCATTCTGATTGTCGCTGCACTCCGACCCTCGTCGTACATAACAGAAAGCTAAGCATAGGCTCTGTTTAATAAACTGACATCTAGAGTACCACTTTTCGGCATGCGCCTTGCACCTAAAAAGTGTAAAATCATCATTCAGAACCTGAAGTCTCTAGAAAGGTACCTTACCGTCCGGGTAGAATCACAGGGTGTTGTGGAGAATTTTACATACTTCGTTAGTTGTATTAGCTGTGACGGAGGTGTGTCTGACAAAGTCAGTGCAGGAATCTCAGAAGACCGAATCGTGTTTGCTGATTCGCATCACTAGTGGCGCTAAAACGGTATATCGCCGGATCTCAAGGGACGCGTGTATCAGCTTACAGTAATGGCCGTGTTGCTGCATGGTTGCAAGACATGGCCTATGCCGAGAGGTGATATGAGGCATCTTTCGATTTTTTTCACCACCGACGTCTCAAACGTGCTGCAGGTGGTGGATGGCGTCAAAAAATTTGTAACGGTGTACATGGGTACTTGGATGTGCAGTGAGCACTGCAGATGCGGAAAACATACGCCACCAATTGCCATTGCTCGGTTATGTGCTACGCCTGCCGAAGCATCGTTTACAGAGACGAGTACTGTTCCCTATAATAGTAGTAGTAACAATAACAATAATAATAACAATAATCAAAACAATGAGGCAAATCAATAACGACCTTTCACCTGTGACACCATTTCGGTGCCTAGCTGCCATGCCACACGAAGGAAGCATGGAGGCTGGCAGGAAAGGTCGAGATTCCGAGGCTGGCTTCGAACAACGGACCATCCGGTCAGTAAGTTAGCGCGTTAATCACTAATCTACCCCGAGTGCCCCGTACCTGCTACAAAATGGTGTAAACTGCAGAGTGGGTAACGTGCGACTCGTAGAGAGTCGTGAAAGGGATAAAGAAAATTTTGTGTTGCTGGTGAGGTCGGTTTTCTAGGATGACTGGAGGCACTGTGAGAAATAGCAGCTGATAGATGTCAGTGGCGTTCGTGTTGTCAGTTTCCTTCCATGTTGTCTACTTGAGCGCTTGGGGTGCAGGCACCTCAGAATGCCTGTCACGGGCTGGCACCAAGCTCCTGCCCTATCTACTATTCTTTTCACTCCGTTTTACATATAACTAACTAAACTGTGGTTTCACTGCAGAGAAGGATCAGTGTCAACACTGACGTTGCTCTCTCTGATGATCGCGATGAGTATTCGCTTACATCCCTCGAAGGTTCCGTTTCTCGGAAGGCCGAATTCCCGACACTGATGGTACTAGTGTTCGGAGTAACCAGCTGCGTGTTCTCACAGTTGATTGCTCATTGGTGGTGATTAAAGCCACTGCGGTTGTCTAAGAAGCTGCCAACGCATACCTTAAATCGTTCAGTTGTAACATCCTTCCGGTGCCTAGCTGCCATGCAACCCAAAGGAAGCACGAGGGCTGAGATACTGCCAGGTTGCCCAAGTCTAGACAAGGCTAAAAACTACCGTGGGATTGTCCTCGATGTTGACAGTGTGGTGATAGGCATTTTAGATGGTGTTTGCTGTGTATAACAACAATGATTCTACATGAGCTTTCAACGGAGGATCCAGCGTGATATGATACCAGAGCTATAAAACAGGCTTTTCAGACACTCACAAACTAGACCGCTTTTTCCCCTTTTACCGCCATCGCCTATCAAAGGCGTTGCTCAGTATCTGCACTCCCACTGTTTGCTCCAGCTAAGACCCGCCACACTAAAACCACCGTTCTATTCGGCAAAAGCTGTCACAGTCCACATGAAGTCAGGCCCTTCCTCTGCTGGCTAGTTGGTAGTAGTCAAGTGCCGTTTTCGCACTCTCCAACCCTGTAAGCTCAAAACGAATCAGATGATGTGACCATCTTAACACTACTAAGTAGACAAAGGATGAAATCTCGGCTGATCCCCTCTCGACAATTTTCCCTGATGAATGGGACCAGGACATTCTGTGCAAACACACAACGTGGGAGCAAGAAATGGCTTAAGTGGTCATAGCGCGAATTTACTGACCGGAAAGTCAGTGGTTCGAACCCGACCACTGCCTCTGGACTTCTCCTGTCTAGGCTTGAGCAACCTGACAGCACCCCAGATATGCGCTTTCTTTGGGTGGCATGGGGGCTTAGCACCAGAAAGGTGTTACAGCTGAACGAGAGGCTCGTCAGACAGCTTTTTGAATACGCCAAGACGTAACCATCATTGAGCGTGTTCAACAAGCTACTACGAAAATGCTTGCCAGCCTTGAATCCGTTGCTTATGAGACGCGTTTCGCGCTGCTTGGTCTATCACTCCTGAAGTATTGTCAACTCCGAGAAGACCTGATACTTACTTGTCCTGTTTAAACAAGGTTTGCTGACAGGTTTTCACCGTTGGCCCAATTAACACACGGTGACAAAATTTTCAAGCTCAGAGCGGTTGGCCCACGGTGACAAAATTTTCAAGCTCAGAGCGCGCACGTTTATTGGACAACAGTCTTTCACATTTCAGGTACTTGGTGCGTGGAATGACTTTCTTCCGACGGTTGTTCACGCTGCATCTAGTGCCCAGTTCAAAGCACTCTTAGACACCGCTTTAGTTTAGTCATCGCGTTGACAAAATTACTGCCCCTCGCAGTGCTACATTCTTTTTTCGCCTGTGCCTTCTAGGTGAACAGAAGCCACTGAATGACAGGACAAAAACTTGACCTAAGAAGCCTGTCGATCCCGTGTATCAATCCGGGAATCGGCGTATCCGTAGCACCGTATCCACGCCTTCCTTCAACCAGAATTTCGTACCTTCCTCTCAAATTCCCCTATCTACTCGCATTATCAATCTTGTCCCTGCCAGATCCAAATACATCGTCCGTGGCGATGGTCAGGATATATATCTGATATGTCTGATGCAAAATCAGTTAGACTCCGACTAGCACAGAAAATCCGGACCGCGCGCTAAAGGTCACGCTGCTACTCCGGGAGTCGGGCGAATAGCTCAGGATTGTCTAACACACTGGACGAATAACTTTAGTGGTAAGAAAGTTAGGGGGTTCACGTGCAAATCACAGCATCAGCAGCCTTGCAGCAGCAGACCCAAAAGGTCCCAGGTGGTTGATTGGTCAATTCGCATCAGCACGATTCCGAGGAATGGTGAAAAGAAGCGAAGCCTTTGCCGAGGATCAGTTTGTTATTTTGTTCAGTGGCTTAGTTTAACTGATCACCACAGGCGCGAATGTGTGGCACCGATCTTTATCTCATTAGCGGTTGATACTATGCTAGCGAGTGCATTTAGAAAAAGGTGAGTTCACCTGCTCCGTTGGTGAAGCGGTAATTCAAGGTAATTCAAGGTAATTCAAGGTTTA